CCCGCTTGAGTTTGGGAAGACCTATCTTGAAGGTTGCCGCTGGCAATTTGCCAAGAGAACCAGTGGTGAGTACAGCCTCATCGAGGTCGGTTTTCGTTTAGGTGCTTCAAATGAGTACTTCCTCCATTCACAAAACTTATGGACATTTCAGAATGATGGTCAAATCGTCAAGTCATTTTGCCCATAATAAATCCTTCTATCCGGCAGCAGGTCAAAGGCCATTTCGTCGATAACATGGCGGTCGTACCCTCTTCGGCTAGATTTTGCGATGCATTGGCTAGACGCACTATCCTCTATGTCATCGACCTTGTTGCGTTTCCAGATCCTGATAAGTGCATTTTACCGATAATACACCTGCAGTCAGCACCTTTTGATACATTAGGCCATTCTCCTTCCAAATTGACCTTTTTAAGCTGCTGTAAGCTGGAATGCCATGTCTTGGCATATGTGCTATTCTAGAGCATGCTTTGGCACCACTGCTACAATTGCGCGGGCGTGGAGGGTCGAAAATAATGGGGATAGCTGACAGGAGGGTCTTGTGGGGCCGCCCCTGACGCGAATATGCGGCCATTCCGCGTAGAAATGATATGTACGGGAATGCCCACGTTTCAAGCGTTTGATTGGAGCAACATAGACGCAAATCGGATAAGTATTGGCTAATCTACTGTGATTTTTATCTAAATGTCCCTAATTTTTGTGAACGGAGGGAGTATTTGATTTTACTTTAGCATGAGCTATCCCTTGGACGTCCGGCGTTTTGCGGGATCTACTCGCTCGCGAGAGAGTGAATTGGTTTTAACATGTGATGTCGCAGCCGGAAGGATATCTACACTCTGTTGTGTCTACTCCTTCGGCCTGTATTAGTCACTATGAGCCGTCCCGTAAACCATACCGTAAACCTTCCATTAATTGTACCCATATTTTGGTACAAAACTCTAATCCGTTAGTAAGCGTAACCTTGGGTCACCATCGAAAACAGGTGTACCTGTACTAGCACATCATCTGCCTCCCAATTTGGGAGTCTCAAAAGCTTAAATGTCGTGCGATGGCTCTTACCGGCTTATCAATAACAGCAAGTCCCATTGGTTGGGACTTAACCTATACGTGCGTAGATTCGTTAAATTTTATCGGGGAAAACCTTGACATCACTCAGTGATGAGTCGGTATCGTTATGGTCGTGCTAATACATCTAACACACTGAAACGACATGCCATCAAAACCGAGTCGATTCTGTAGCGTGTTTGATATTCTATCTCAGTCCTCACGAAGCCCTAGCATTTTGTGATGGAGATATACATGTATGTCAAGTGCTGACGTTTCCAATATCGTTGCCACTGGCAATGGAAAACGGTGATTTAAAAAAAATAACAATTAGTATACGACTCTATATTTAAGCTGTGTAGTCCGGTGAGCTACAGAA